CATTCGGTATGGTCACTTCCATTGTCAGCATGCTGTGTGAGTGGTTGTGGAACATTGGCAACAGCCGTTATCATGCTTGTCGATGACCACTTGCACTGTCATGTCTTCAATCGTCTCGTGACCACTTCTCCATACTAACTAGAGTAATCGGATCGGTGGAGGGCGGTGAACACAACTGATTGGCTGCCTGACTCACTGCCTGAATCACTCATTCACTGACTGTCTGCCTCACTGACTGTCTACCTCATTGACTGATTGATTGACAATGAAAGTGACAGTGGTGAATGCCACCAGTTACACATTGACGGTGAGCACACTACTCGACTCTTGACAAGTATCGCCAGTTCTCATGCACACTCTCGTCCACACATCTCCTCCACTTACTTACTCTGTCACACATCCATCGAAATATCCACAGACACACACACACACACACACACAATTCATGCTGTTGTCTTGCTTGACAAATGTGTGTCAGTGTTAGTTAGAGGTGAGTAAAGTGCATTTGACAATATCCGTGTTACACAGGTGAGGAACAATCAATCAATCAAGAAAGCGTGACTCACGATGTGGGAATCTGTGCACCACCTCTGACCACGTCAACTGGCACTCTGCTAGCCGCTGCAGCCGCTGGGGCGAATGACATTGGCTCGCCTCTCACTGGAACCGACCTACAAACGGGAAATCGAATTACCACACTGACAAAGATCCATTCATGCCTCATCAGGGAGTGTGAAACGCACAGAAACACACGGATGTCGAGTGAGTGACAGTGACCATCCACTCTCCATTGTGATATCACAGTGAGTCGCCACATGTCTTCCAGATGTCTCGAGTGTTCGCCTGACGTCTGTGGACACCGGTCACTCGCTTCAATGCATACCGCTGAGTGAATTCCAGGCCAGTTGTAATCCCACCGATCATCGATGTCACGCTTAACATCCGATTTCGAGTGTTCCACTTTCCCACCTTCGTCTTCCAACCTTCAAACTTCACTGCTTCCTTCACGTCTCGACGAGCCGCCGATCGCCTCATCACCATCGAACCACGCTCGCCACATCAACACCTCTGTGTCACACTGGAACACACGCGAACAGCAACACAGACACAAACACAGCAAATACACACATTCTTGCACACCCTCAGCCAGACTACACGACACAAACAATCACACTAGATCACAACACACAACACTCACACACTCATCCACCAACCGACTGCCTGACTGACTGACCACCAGACTGACTGACTGACTGCCTGACTGCCTGACTCACTCACTCACTCACTCACACGCACACTGACTGACCGAATAACACACGAACACACAATCCCAGTCACATTCACACTCACACTGCAGTCAAATACATTGAGAACTCGGAGTGACACACATCGTCAAGACACAGACACAACAGTACTTCCCTTCATCACACACCAACAAGAAATGTACACTGGTCAGAACTGCATCAAAACCGACTGCTCCACAGTGTGAATTGTCAGAATAAATAAATAAATAAATAAATAAATGACTGACTGACTGACTGACTGATTGTCTGACTGTCAGGATAATTCACCCTCTCACTCACTCACTCAATCACTCACACACTCAATTACTCGCTCACTCAGTCAGCCAGTCAGCTAGGCAGGCATGCACTCAGCTAGTAAGTCGGGGAGGCATTCATCCACTCAATCAGGCAGTCAATCACTCGCTCAGTCGCCCTCTCACTCACACAATCTGCAACACACACGCACACACAGACACACACTCACACACACGACAAACAATGCTCTATCCACTAGTCACACGATCACAACACATTCGGTATGGTCACTTCCATTGTCAGCATGCTGTGTGAGTGGTTGTGGAACATTGGCAACAGCCGTTATCATGCTTGTCGATGACCACTTGCACTGTCATGTCTTCAATCGTCTCGTGACCACTTCTCCATACTAACTAGAGTAATCGGATCGGTGGAGGGCGGTGAACACAACTGATTGGCTGCCTGACTCACTGCCTGAATCACTCATTCACTGACTGTCTGCCTCACTGACTGTCTACCTCATTGACTGATTGATTGACAATGAAAGTGACAGTGGTGAATGCCACCAGTTACACATTGACGGTGAGCACACTACTCGACTCTTGACAAGTATCGCCAGTTCTCATGCACACTCTCGTCCACACATCTCCTCCACTTACTTACTCTGTCACACATCCATCGAAATATCCACACACACACACACACACTTCATGCTGTTGTCTTGCTTGACAAATGTGTGTCAGTGTAGTTAGAGGTGAGTAAAGTGCATTTGACAATATCCGTGTTACACAGGTGAGGAACAATCATTCAATCAAGAAAGCGTGACTCACGATGTGGGAATCTGTGCATCACCTCTGACCACGTCAACTGGCACTCTGCTAGCCGCTGCAGCCGCTGGGGCGAATGACATTGGCTCGCCTCTCACTGGAACCGACCTACAAACGGGAAATCGAATTACCACACTGACAAAGATCCATTCATGCCTCATCAGGGAGTGTGAAACGCACAGAAACACACGGATGTCGAGTGAGTGACAGTGACCATCCACTCTCCATTGTGATATCACAGTGAGTCGCCACATGTCTTCCAGATGTCTCGAGTGTTCGCCTGACGTCTGTGGACACCGGTCACTCGCTTCAATGCATACCGCTGAGTGAATTCCAGGCCAGTTGTAATCCCACCGATCATCGATGTCACGCTTAACATCCGATTTCGAGTGTTCCACTTTCCCACCTTCGTCTTCCAACCTTCAAACTTCACTGCTTCCTTCACGTCTCGACGAGCCGCCGATCGCCTCATCACCATCGAACCACGCTCGCCACATCAACACCTCTGTGTCACACTGGAACACACGCGAACAGCAACACAGACACAAACACAGCAAATACACACATTCTTGCACACCCTCAGCCAGACTACACGACACAAACAATCACACTAGATCACAACACACAACACTCACACACTCATCCACCAACCGACTGCCTGACTGACTGACCACCAGACTGACTGACTGACTGCCTGACTGCCTGACTCACTCACTCACTCACTCACACGCACACTGACTGACCGAATAACACACGAACACACAATCCCAGTCACATTCACACTCACACTGCAGTCAAATACATTGAGAACTCGGAGTGACACACATCGTCAAGACACAGACACAACAGTACTTCCCTTCATCACACACCAACAAGAAATGTACACTGGTCAGAACTGCATCAAAACCGACTGCTCCACAGTGTGAATTGTCAGAATAAATAAATAAATAAATAAATGACTGACTGACTGACTGTCAGGATAATTCACCCTCTCACTCACTCACTCAATCACTCACACACTCAATTACTCGCTCACTCAGTCAGCCAGTCAGCTAGGCAGGCATGCACTCAGCTAGTAAGTCGGGGAGGCATTCATCCACTCAATCAGGCAGTCAATCACTCGCTCAGTCGCCCTCTCACTCACACAATCTGCAACACACACGCACACACAGACACACACTCACACACACGACAAACAATGCTCTATCCACTAGTCACACGATCACAACACATTCGGTATGGTCACTTCCATTGTCAGCATGCTGTGTGAGTGGTTGTGGAACATTGGCAACAGCCGTTATCATGCTTGTCGATGACCACTTGCACTGTCATGTCTTCAATCGTCTCGTGACCACTTCTCCATACTAACTAGAGTAATCGGATCGGTGGAGGGCGGTGAACACAACTGATTGGCTGCCTGACTCACTGCCTGAATCACTCATTCACTGACTGTCTGCCTCACTGACTGTCTACCTCATTGACTGATTGATTGACAATGAAAGTGACAGTGGTGAATGCCACCAGTTACACATTGACGGTGAGCACACTACTCGACTCTTGACAAGTATCGCCAGTTCTCATGCACACTCTCGTCCACACATCTCCTCCACTTACTTACTCTGTCACACATCCATCGAAATATCCACAGACACACACACACACACACACACACACACAATTCATGCTGTTGTCTTGCTTGACAAATGTGTGTCAGTGTTAGTTAGAGGTGAGTAAAGTGCATTTGACAATATCCGTGTTACACAGGTGAGGAACAATCAATCAATCAAGAAAGCGTGACTCACGATGTGGGAATCTGTGCACCACCTCTGACCACGTCAACTGGCACTCTGCTAGCCGCTGCAGCCGCTGGGGCGAATGACATTGGCTCGCCTCTCACTGGAACCGACCTACAAACGGGAAATCGAATTACCACACTGACAAAGATCCATTCATGCCTCATCAGGGAGTGTGAAACGCACAGAAACACACGGATGTCGAGTGAGTGACAGTGACCATCCACTCTCCATTGTGATATCACAGTGAGTCGCCACATGTCTTCCAGATGTCTCGAGTGTTCGCCTGACGTCTGTGGACACCGGTCACTCGCTTCAATGCATACCGCTGAGTGAATTCCAGGCCAGTTGTAATCCCACCGATCATCGATGTGACGTTTATCATCCGTTTTCATTTTTGGCCGTTTTCTGGCTCCTTTTTCACAAATAAATCTTTAAATATCTTTCGTTCTCCTTGTCGATCTACTGCCGTCGTTTTTGGTATTATTCTCGCCTGTAATTTTTTCATCATTATTTTTAATTTTTTTATTTGTTTCTCTTTCCTTTTTATGTTTTTACTTGTTTTATTGATTTTCGGATTTCTTTCTCTGTGCTTTATTTGTTTTTCTCTCTTCTTTTCACTGATCATTTCCTTATATTGTTTTTACACCTTTCAACTGTGTTTATCTCGTTTTAATTTCCATGAGTAACTTCTGTAATGCAAATGGATTTTACTGGTGTGTCCTAATCTTAACGCTCTTTCTCTCTACCGGCTACACGAACTTGTTCCCATGCAATGGATTTATTATGCAAACATATATTAATTAGTAATTTGTATGCAGAATGACTGGCATTTTAATAACTCACGATGCAGGAATTTGTGACAGACCAGTGCCAATGAAACTGCTTCCCATGATACCTCCAACTGGAGCAAGTGGCATTCCCATACCTCTTGGCATATTTGGCCTGTATAAATGATCATAAATAATTTTTAAATAACACAAATACAGTCCATGGAACATTATTTTTCTCAAAGAGAATTCAGCAGTCATTATCACATCAATGTCAGAGGTGAAAGTCATCTTTCCTGTACACTCTGTAACGTCCAATTTTTTATTTGGAATGAGTCTCTTCACTTGAATATTTCAGCTCTTTATACCTGATTTAGAATATTTGTGGCTCAGGTTGTAGATGATTTTGATGTGGTTGTGTTCTGTGAGTTGGATAGTTAATTTGCCAGACTTTCATCATTACCCTAATAGGCAACATCTTCAGCGCATAGTTAATTTGATGGAGTGAGCTTTTAGATTTCTCCACGAGTTCACTATTCATCCTCTCTCACGTGGTGGGTGATCCTGAACATGATTGGTTGCTTTTGTGTTTTTTTCACATCCTCTAGGCAACTTATATTGCTATTTAATCGGTGGGTGGTGACTAGCAGTGGAATCCAGGATGCGCATTTCGTCCTATTTGGGACTGGTCAGTTGGATGTACCTGCATTTCTCAGTGGGTGATGATGTTCCCACTGAGGCTCGAACCCAGTGCCCATAGTTTCAAACCTAGCACTTCGGTCCAATCAATCGATGGGAAAACCAAAATCCAACTAAACTTATATTGGTATTGGTGTTGATTGTTTCCCTGGCCTGAAGTTCGACCCTATGTGTGTGTGTGTGATATTTCTTTCTTATCGATCGGCAGATTTTGTCTATGTCAATGTGTCTATTGATTGACGGTTCTGTGGAATACCAGGCTTCTAAAAATTCTCTAGCATTTTGGGTCTTTCCTCTGTCTAATATTTCAACGTTGTCGTAGTCGAATTAATATCCACGGAAAAATATTCCAGTATTCCAGTGAATCGTCAATCAATAGACACAAATTGACATAGACAAAATTTACCGATCGATAAGAAGGAAATCTCATACACACAAAGGATCAAACTTCAGGTCAAGGAAACAATCAGTACCAATACCACATGTGAACTAGATGATGTGAAAACAGACATAGACAACCAATCAGTCTCAAGGTCACACTCCAGGAGAAATGACTAATAATGAACTCGTGGATAAATTTACAAGCTCACTTCATCAAACTGTAGTATGCATTGAAGCTGTTGCTTAGATAGGGCAATGATGAGAGCTTCGCAAATAAACCATCCAGTTGCTAAGAGAACACAATTACATGAAAATTTCAGTTGTTCAGATTGAGATCAAAAGACTTTAGGAAGTATTCATTACTGAAAATTCTGTCACAGTTTAGTTTGTATTTTAGGATGAAAATGAGTGTGTGATGTGTAGTCACATGATGTCTGTCTTGTTTTGCCAGTCTGATATATTTTGCTATATGTCTATGGATCGTTAATCCATTATAACTCTAATTTAAAACAATTAGTCCCGTTTATAAATTTTGATAGCGTTATTAGAAGACGGAGACTGTCTGAAAAATGTGATGTATTAGCGCTATACATTTCGAACAATCTGATTACACATTTACTTGTCAAGTCAATATATATAGAAAGGTTAAATTAAACAAAGTGAGAGAAAACGGAATTAAGAATAATTAACACAAACGTTTGGTAATCCAATCAAATAAGGATTACCAAGGTAGGTTAAGAGTAATGACAAACTGTTTTTGAATACACAAGGGGGGCTTAAGTCTATGAATAGCTGTAGCCTCAGCGTATTTCAATAAACGCCCTTGACCGTTTTTATAGATGACCTTAAAGGCTGAGTTAACATCAATCTTATGGTTCATCTCGATTAGATGTTTAGCTATAGACGAATTTAGTAGTCTGCCACCTGCATCTATTAGCTTGTCACAGTTCATCTGTTTTTCTAACCATTTTGGGATAACTCTGTCCATTAACTAAATAAACAGTGTATGACCTTTTTATCACATGACATTACAACCAATCAGAATCCAGTTGGTGGTAAGAAAAACTACTATCTATCTTCAAGTGTTGGTTTGTAGGGATTTGATTGGTTTCAGGATTTCATCATGAGCTGACATTAGTTAGAGAACCATTGGAAAACCACCTGGGAGTACTGGACAGCTGTTTCGTCCTAGTTTGGGACTCTTCGGCAGTATGCACCCACCGGGATTCGAACCCAGGACCTCCTGGTTACAAGGCGAGCTCGTATACTATTAAGCCACTGGGAGAAGTTAGAATTCAAGGACCGTTGGATCGGGTCCCAGTGGCTTAGTGGTATACGAGCTCGCCTTGTAACCGGAAGGTCCGGGGTTCGAATCCCGGTGGGTGCGTACTGTCGAAGAGTCCCAAACTAGGACGGAACAGCTGTCCAGTACTCCCAGGTGGTTTTCCAATGGTTCTCTAACTAATGTCAGCTCATGATGATATCCTGAAACTATCTATCTTATTGCTTCATGTATGTTAGTTACTTTCGTACTTCTCCACTCACACTCGTGTGTGTGACAGTTAATTCCCCTTGTTGGAAAATACACATATCCATCGTGGACGTGGGTGTCTTCTGATTTTCCTCTTTGAGACAGAGTAAATTAACTACTAAGCAATAACAGTCTTTACGATATCATCCGTTATATAGCCACATTTACACTCGGTCACTCAATAACAGTGTATTTTGTCAAAGAAGGTATAATGTCTTTCATCTGATATCGGTAACGTAGGTTAACTACTACGGGGTTGTACGTGTTAGCATCACTGACTCGTTTCATTTCTAAGCATTTGTTTCACAGTATTGACAGACGTCCATCTTCTTTTTTCTCAAGTGAAAGTAATTCCTCATTAATACGTCAGATGACTGAATAATACTTCTTTTGAAAATGCACAGACACCTCGTGAACAGATGAACTATGTCGACGTACCATGAAACACTTGAGTGTCATTCTCATGACATTATTATTATTATATCTTTTAATTCCTAGAGGAACATAGGGCTTCAGCTCCATTGCGTTCGGTTCTCTGCTAAGGTTTTCACCTGGCTCCAAGTCTGCCCACATGTTTTCATCTCCTCTTCACACGACCTCCTCCATGTCACCCTTGTACTAACGACCAACTCGCGGCTTCCCTTTCGGGTTCCACTCGAACGATGGCTTGTCTAGTGATGTCACTTGATGGTTTCCTCAGAGTATGGCTAATCCATCTCCATTTCTTCTTGCTTATTTTTCGCACAATCGGTTCCTGGTTGGTTTGCTCATTGCCAGAGATCCCTGTTGCTGATCTTATCTGGCCGGCCATCTGATCTTGAGTGAAGACAGCTGGTGATGAAAGTCTGTAGTTTGTTTGAGGTGCTGTTCATGACGCGACAAGTCCCTGATCCGTATATTAAGAAGCACTGACTTCACATTGGAGTTGAAAATCCAGATCTTATTTTTCATGCTGAATGCTGTTGACCTCCACACAGACTTGAGAGTAATGAAAGCTTGTCCTGCTTTCCCGGTCCTTCCTTTGATATCCTCGTCAGAGTATTCAGCTGACGAGTTCTACCGAAACTTGATGAATTCATTAAATCCTGCTTCATTAACCTTTATTGCTCGTCAGTTCCGTCCGCCTATAGTTGAAACGATGCTTCCCAGTTAGGTAGATAAAATAGGTTGTTTCTTTCAGGTTCCTCCCATTTATGCTGATTGATGTCTGTTTTTGTTGTTGCTGTTGGTGTTGGCCAGGAATCTTCATCACCTCTGTTTTATCTATGTTCACTTAAAGTCCTATGTTTGATGCTTCTTCTCCCAGCTTGTTGCTTTTCACTTGCATATCTTCCAGTTTGTGGGAAATCAGAAATATATCATCGGCGAAGTCCAGATCCTCCAAGTTTTTTGTGTGAGTCTATTTTATGCCTGTTTCCTCATTGCCCGCTGTCTGTCGCATTATCCAGTCTACTGCAATCAGGAAGATCATTGGTGATAGTAGACAGCCTTGCCTCACTCGCGTTCTCACTTCGAAGGATTCCGTAAGTTTCCCGTTGTGGATAACTCGGCATGCAGCATTGTCGTATAACTGTTGGATGAGATGTATAATTGTCGATGGCATCCCGTAGTAGGGAAGTAGTTACCAACTGACCTCTTGATCGATGCTGTCGAATGCCTTTTCAAAGTCAATGAAGTTGAGATAGAAAGGTGACTGACTGTCATTGTAAGCTTTGTTCAATGATGATCCGTAGTGTGGCGATCTGATTTGACAACTACGTCCTATCTGTCTCTACCTCTCCTTTCACTGTCACCTGCATTACCTTACCTTACAATACAATTCCTCCAAAAAAACTTTATTGGTAAGCATTTGTTTAGGATTTCAGATGGAGGTTAAATATGAATCGGAAATATGCACAAGCTCACTGACGTGAGACCACGGTCTTGATAACGGGTACACTACTGTAGGAGAATTTCTGATAAGAGAAAACTAGACGGTACTAAAGTCTTCTGATAATGTAATGGCTGACACTATCAATGTAGAAGATTAGAAATTATGCTTAACATTCAAAAATGGACAATCAATCAAGCATAATAACAAATTTTTACTCAAACACCAGGAAAATATTGAATAATATCACAAATTTTATTTTATTCCTTTTACGTTCCCAGTGGAAGCTTTGAAGCTTCGGTAGCAGTGGTGCTTACTTTTACGGAACGGGGTTGTGAGCCTCATGCCCAAGCTTGCCTCTTTACCAGTCGTATTACTGACTTAGCAAGGTAAAGGAGCACATCGGTGGCCGGGGACTGAACCCTGGACCACAGGCAAGGTCGGCGAGAGCCCTACCGCTATGCCACTGACTCACAATATCACAATTATTGTATTCTGTATAGTAAGTAGTACATTAGAACTTACGACAAAGGTGCTTGTTGAAGACCTCCAGTAAAATTACTCGGATAGTCTCGTTCGATTAATGGTTGAGGCATTGAAATAGGCTGTGGAGGAACGGGCCTGACAAGTGAAAACCAAAGAAAACATCAGTTACTACCATGATAAAAAATGCATAGATATATGTATATTAGCTGAGTAAGCTATTAGGAAGCTAGACTGCTGTTAACTGGTTTACTTGTTTCCGTTATTCACAGTGAGAAATGTTATCATGACGCGAAATTAACATAGTCCACCAACTAAATTAATAAAGTTAATTAAAGCGAAATTGTTGTGAGGATAGCTGAGGAATGACAACTGTGAGGTATTCTAAGCAGTAAGTTTTGTAAAATACAGGATGTGACCTTCAGGTGATCTCCTGCATGCATGTTCACAATTATTATATCCATACACTGAATAGTTTGTAAAATAAAACATTGTGAGTACATCAGCACATTTTTAGAGTGAAAGACATTTTTTCAGCGGTCACATTTTCTCAAATTAATCAGCTGAAGATTTATTGGTACTCTTTTGGAGAACATAGTTGAGGTAACCGTTGATCTTGTGAATGAAGTGACCTACAAAAATCCTAATCTGCAATAGCAGTTACACTGAAAGAGGGACACACCATCGATTTTCTCAATATGTACCAAAATGTCTACTTCTCAAGCGAACAAACGTTTACAACAGTGTGATTGCCAGACATTTAATCAATACCGGTCATGAAGAATTATCAGTAGACGAAATAGTTCATTTCCGCTCAAATCTGCCGAATCGATAGCTATCAAACGCCTAAAACCCGATTGATGTATTGACAGTGAAGCAGTTATCAGTCTTTCCCTGCCCTCAAACTCATAAGGCTTTACTCCCTAATTCATTTGACTACGTAGTCCTTGGATTAAGCCTCTCTCCCTGTGATATAATGTAACTCTGCTTATCTTATGTTCCCATGATTTGAGTTGTGTTGAACTAATTACATTGTTACTCAGTTTGTTAGCTACTCATCATCTTACTTACCTATGGTCTTTATTACGTAACTCTCTTGTCGTAATATATTGCAGACAGTTTTCTATGAACTTAAACCTTCTGGGTATACAGTATATAAGTATTTTTTTCTCAGCACTGTTTATTAAGTTTGGAGCCCCATGTTAACTGACGTCAGGTAACATTTGTATGTTAAAATTGTTTTGTACATAAACTCAGTAATTTGTTTAGGCTGTATTCAGTTGATGAGATGCCAACGAAATAACAGTGATGGCATCATCATTAAAAATGGAGGAATCACGCTCCTGTCGACACTGAGTAAAATTCTGAGTCGCATCATACTGGAGAGAATAAAGGACGCACTGGATACAGAACTCTGACCAGAACAAGCTGGATTCAGGAAAGGCAAATCATGTTCTGACCAAATTGCAACTCTACGCATCATCATCACAGAACAAAGCATGGAATGGCGATCAAACCTCTACCTCAACATTATAGAGTTTGAGAAGGCCTTCGACAGCGTTGACCGCAAAGTAATTTGGAAACTGCTCGAGTACTACGGTGTACCCCAAAATATTCATCAACCTTATTCAGCAGCTGTACGATAACGGCACATGTCAAGTGATCCACAACGGAAAACTCAGCGAGGCGTTTGGAGTAAACACAGGTGTCAGACAAGGGTGCTTATTATTACCGATGAATGATATTCCTAATTGTGGTGGACTGACTGAATTATAAGTCAGACAGTGAGTAGGAAACGAGAAGACAGGGATATCCTGCACCAGCCGACGTGAGGAACCTAGAAGACATGGATTTCGCGGATGATTCATGTTTGATGTCACACAAAATCGGAAACTTCGACAAACTGGTCGAAGAAGCAGCCGGCAAAAACAGGATTCCAGGTTAACATAGACAAGACGGAGGTTATGAAAATAACCAGCCAATAACAACAGCAACAGCAGCAACATCACGAGCCAATCACCATCAACGGGAAGGATTTGAAAGAGGTTACTTCATTCACTTATCATTTAAGGAGCATTGTATCAACTAAAGGCAGTCAAAACGGACGAGGATGGCGAATGGAGAATCGGGGAGGCGAGGAACACGTTCATCAACCTGGAATCAATCTGGAAATCTTCGTCACTCAGCATCAACAACAAAATTCGGATTTTCAATACAAACGACGTCAAGTCAGTTCTTCTATACGGATAAGAAACTTGGCGAGCGGGTCACAAAGAATATTTCCAACAGCCTGTTGCAGACTTTTATCAACAACAGCTGTCTTCGCTCTATACTAAAGATCAATCAGATGGCCGAGCCGGAAAGAATCACTAACAAGAAACTATGGGAACAAACAAAATAAGAACCATTCGCCAACCAACAAATATGCAGGAGAAAGTGGAGATGGATTGGACACTACTCACTGAGGAGGCCGGGCCACTGGGTGACATCGCGCGCGCGTCAGGCCATTGCTTGAGTGGAACCAGGCCGAAACGGAAGTGGGGAGTGGGACGTCCAAGGGTGACACGGAGGAGATCGTGTGAAGAAGAGTTGAAAGAGTATGGACTAACATGGATGCAGGTGGAAAGAGCAGCAGAAAACAGAAGCAAGTGGAGACGTACAGTTGAAGCCCTGTGTTCTATTAGGAATCCAAGGGAGCAATAATAATAATTATTCAAAATGAATTAAATGATTTTTGAGTTACTGTTTATTGAAGGCATTATATTGAATATATGACTTTTTTGGAAATTATTTGTCTTTCAGTGAGTTTAATTACAATTTATTCTATGGGTCATGTTCACTAAAAACAAAGGTATTCAACATTCACTCTTTCTGTGTCTTGTACATTTTCGTCTATTCTGAAATGGAATGATTACATAACGATATAGGCAACTCTCAGCATCAGTCTGCAGAAGTTAACTTTTATTAATTACGTCTGTGTTCCGAATGGTGGTCCGGGTTCATTTCCACACCGACAAACTGCTAAACCTCACCTAGACACTAGTTAACCCAAATACACCATCCTGATTGATAGTGTCCTTTGTGTAGCACTTTTGAACTAAATCAAAAAGCAGTTTTCTCAGTTCACATTAGTTTAAAATTGCATTCAGAATTATTCAGTAAGAAAAAGAATTGATTAGATAATATCAAATATGGTGATAACCTCTTCAAACGTTCAGGTGGTAGGATTTGTGAGCATTTTGGATTAATTTCAATATTTACACATTTGTCACGAATCAGTATAAGTTAGAGGACAAATAAAAACCAAGCACTAGTAGACAGCTGAATGTGTGAAAATTGCACACTATGGTAGTAAGTAATTCCATATTAGTTTGTTTATTAGATACATCACAAAGTGAGTGAAACAGTATTATTCACTGGATGACAAGGTTTCGAAAACAATCTATTATTATTCATAATCATATCATCAATTGTAATCACACACGACTTCGAAAATTGAGTTTTATAGTTTTATTGGTTCTCTCCTATTTGTCATCGTTGGAGTAGTAGAATTTTCCAGATATCTGGGTGGACAGATGTTGAATCATTCCTATTACACGTGATGGTTTGCAGTTGATTCGATAAACAAGGCTTCTGTTATCAATCTCTCCCTCCCTCCACCCAGCTGTGACACTAGATTTTAAAATTATCATCTTATCCCATCATCCTACAATGCATGGTTGTGTGTAATTGCATGTAGTGAGTGGCATACCTGAACTATTCTCTGGATTTCTTATCCTACTCGCGTCAACGAATCTAGAATTCCATTTGACATTAGTAACTAGTGTGATGTGTCAAGTCCTCTGATTGATGCTGACTGAATTCTGTCGGTCAGGTTTTGCAATGTGGCCATCATTCTAGATAGCTCACCATCATGGTGCACTTTGATTTGCTGATATTAGATGGTTGGAGGCAATCGGCCACAGGAAGCCTTGGACACCACCTAGGTTTTGTGCTAGTTGGCACTCATCAGCAAGGCGTACCTACAACCTTGAAGGAACTCATGTCCCTTCTGAGATTCGAACTCGCGTCACCCAGTGCTGCAGTCTGAGACGTTACCGCTGAAGCTATTCGGGCTCGTGATTGACTTCCTGTAGGACTGTAGTGGATATTTTGATTTGACACTAGTAACTACTGTGATGTGTCTAGTCCTCTGATTGCTCGGTATTTATGTTCGGCTAGTCTGACTGCCCCTAATCTACTACTTTGACCTATATATCTGACCTTACAGTCATCCCAGAAGGGTATCAGATAAATTAAATAGTTTTGTCTTAAAAGGGAGGCGGCGAGTTGGTCGTCCAAGGGTGACTTGGAGGAGGTCATGCGAGGAGGAGATGAAAGCATGTGGACAGACCTGGAGCAGGGTGAAAAAGTTGTCAGAAAACCGAAGTCAATGGAGGTGCGCAGCTGAAGCCCTATGTTCCTCTAGGAACTAAAGGATACAATAATAATAATAATAATAATAATAATAATAAATGTTCCACAGGATCCTTTAACTGACAAAGTATGTCTGTAATTGAGTTTGTGGGTTTTAATGCCACTTTTATTCCTCCCTTGTTAAGAATTCTGCATAAAGTTTCCGAAGTTCCTTCTTTCTATGAAATTATCACCCAAATAAGATAAAAATCCAGAGAATATTTCAGGTATGCCACTCACTACATGCAATTACACACAACCATGCATTGTAGGATGATGGGATAAGATGATAATTTTAAAATCTAGTGTCACAGCTGGGTGGAGGGAGGGAGAGATTGATAACAGAAGCCTTGTTTATCGAATCAACTGCAAACCATCACGTGTAATAGGAATGATTCAACATCTGTCCACCCAGATATCTGGAAAATTCTACTACTCCAACGATGACAAATAGGAGAGAACCAATAAAACTATAAAACTCAATTTTCGAAGTCGTGTGTGATTACAACTGATGATATGATTATGAATAATAATAGATTGTTTTCGAAACCTTGTCATCCAGTGAATAATACTGTTTCACTCACTTTGTGATGTATCTAATAAACAAACTTATATGGAACTACTAGACAGGTGCTTTGTCCTGTTTCGGGACTTAACCATAGGTTGATCCTGAGAACTTTAGT